AAAAATGTCGAAATAATGTCGAAGTAATGTCCAAATAACTAGTGAGCGTTCATGCACATCTTGCATGTGATTGGTTGGCTTCAAAAGAATGTCGAAATAACGTCTCAAAAAGGTCTGGGCGTTCATGGTTCGAGTATCCTCACTGTAAAAATACTTATAAAATAAGTCTGATGCCTTATTCATCAGGTATATATCAGATTAAATAACTGGTGTTCAATCCTTCACTACTTTGTCACGATCCCACTGGCATGGAAAAGGTCAGTTTACATATCGCATCATAGACCATTGTTAGCTTTTGAATACCATTTTTAACTGGCATAGATGTATCAAGCACGCTAGTCCTTCTTCCATGTGGGATCAAAATGTTTGCAATTGTAGCAAAATGAACATGCTCATTAGAGGTTTTTAAAATAACTATTACAATAATTGTTGAAATAATTAAGTATTAAGGTGTGAAACATCTAGAAACAGTGGGAAATTCCCTTTATCGATAGTAAATATACTAATATCTTTGAGATCCTCAGGCTAATGCTTAATTTGAATCAAAATATCTACAACCTTCACATAAAATTGCATTTGAAATCACGTATCTCACTACTTACGTGTTCTCGGCACTTCCTTGTGAAACACTTTTGATGAATGCTTTTCCATCAGTCAAGTCATCGAGAGCGCTAAAGGGAACCACAACGACATTATTAATTATCAATATTAATTAGATTTTTGACAATTCTTATCCTAAGAGTACGGTAGACGATATCAAACTGTGACATATTGACCGTTTGCAATTTCTGAAGGGCAGATAGCCGATTTGCGAATTTTGCCTCAGTAGTGAAACACAAAAGAATCAAGACGAGTCGCTGTTCATAAAGCTCAGTCAATCGTAAAAATCAACTATTTATAGCATGTTTCTGTCATTTACAACGACCATCTTCATTGGTCGCAAAGATAGCACACTGTTGGATCATATTTACTATCGAGAGAAAATTTAAGGGCATAAAAAGAAGACCTCGGGAGAGATTGAAAGGAACGGCAAAGCGGGAACACTGGGGAGCCTGAGTAGAGACGGTATGCACTATAGGCACAATGACAAAGAGCTAGAAAAATTTGGTTTGGTTATGTGAGACAAAAACAAAGTAAATGAGACCTAACTTTAAAGATGGAAATGATTTACAGTAACGTAACATTTTAAGTACCTTTTAAACTCCTGCAAGTTCGTCAAGAGATAATCCTTGCTAACCCCAGCTGTGATTGCAACACTGTGACTTTCTTTAAGCACAATCACCTGTAGATTGACACATGATAAAAAACTTCATTAGTAATTGATCGGTTGCTTTAAACGAGTCTATACTTCGATTGAAAACTTACATGCACCCTTGCGTTGGGCTCAGATGCTTTGGGAGACGACCCTCTATCAGTTGCTTGAACCGTAAGACTATRCTGTTGTTCTTCGCTATCACCAAGGCTTTTTAAGGCCATAAGCTTACCGCTCTTAGGATCCATGAAAAACATCTCTCCACCACTGATAATCTTATACTCTACCTCACCATTGGTTCCACTGTCACCGTCTTCGGCCTGTAGAGTGCAAATGGTGACATTACGTTTGTCATAGATTACAATACCTACAATACTACATTTTTATTAAGTTCCAACCATTTCATTCTTTTTTTGMAATAAGTGTGACAAGCAAAGCAAGTACAGCACATTTACATTTAAAAAGCARATTTACATGTTTTATGTCCTCAATGTTCTTTGACTTAAAAGATGTACCTAATCTTGTAAATTCTATAATATCAAGAGAGTATATGCTTCTGTCAGAAGTAGATATACCTCTCTCCTTTACTAGAGAAAGAAAACGATCCTACGTAGTAGGTACTGACCTCTTTGATTCACGAGAGAGCATKTCGCTATCTCATCAAGAACGCTCTCCTGATGAGAAACGTGCCCTATTTTTTTCCCTGGTAAAAAATGTCCGTCTAAGACAAGGTAGAAACCTTGCTGCTATGCTGTGTTTTTTAATCAATGCACCAATATAAACAGTTTAAATTCAGTTTAGTGTTGTAACTTACAGAAACTGTTAGAATTTCTTTACCAAACTCGGTGTTTTTGTATATACCTGATGAACAGAGAAAGTATGATATGATATACAATTATATAATAAATTAGTGTGTCCTTTGTTCCAGTCTCGAGATGTTTGGCTTTCATCTTGAATATGCAACTAACAATAAACAGTTAAATGTTCTATTAGAGCCGAAGGCTTCCAAATCACTTAACAGTTAATCATTAAGGTCAGTCATATCATAAAAGTTGAATGTAGCGCAAAATTGTCGGAGCCATGTCAGTTCAACAGCTGCGAATGCGCATTCCAGTCACCTCAAGGGTATAAACCAAATAGAAGGGTATAAACCAAACGTTATTTTATTATTTAATATTGGTGGCGCTTACCCCCGAGGTACGTTTGTGTCTTAAATGTTGGCTTAAAGTTGTTGTCTTGGACAGCAATAACCGATATCAACACAAACACATTAGTAGACCGTGGTGAGCTCCCTTGATCCACAGCGGCAACAACAATCTAAACAGATAAAGAAATTACAACACAGTTTCATTCATAGATCTTTCCGAGTTTGCTTTTCGTCACTTACGTTATAGGTTAAGGAAATTCTGCGTTTAGAACAAATTTTGACAAGACAAATTCAAGAAATAATTATGAAAGTTAACTCACCTGGTACTTTGGGTTTTGTTTGTGGCTCAATTGTGCTAAAGTGGTAATTACACCAGTATTTGGGCCAATAGCGAAATGTCCTTTTGCACCTGATAGAATACTGTATGATATTTTGGCGTTTTGGCCTTCATCGGCATCAGTTGCGGCAATAGTTGATACTTCAAAACCAATCTTTGCATTCTGGAGACATAAACAATACATTRTTAAAATATCGAACAAAGAGATTGTCTGGGGAAAATCTGGTACAAGTTTAGAAAGCACCAAATTATAAATAATATTGGAACGTCAACTTCTTTTTGTGAAAAAAAAAGTTTTGCATTCTTCTACGTCCCTCACGGGAATCAACAATCAATGCAAACCGCATCTTGGGGCGATAGGAACCATTATGTAGACCAAAGTTGGCAATATGAGTTCATAACAAAACAACATGACTGCAACTTGAAGGCTCGTCAACTTCACGCACCACATCGAGTACCAAACATCACTTGGTCCAGCAATGACCACTGCGCTAACCTTACCTCATAAACATTAACACTGACAAACGCTTGTGAGACCGAAGGTGAGTTGTCATTGATATCCAAGATATTGATAGTAACGTTGGTAGAGTTGGTTCTTGGTGGACTTCCACCATCGTAGGCTTCAATCAATACCACGTAACTCATAGTTTTCTCGTGATCCAAACTTTTTGACAGTGTTACCTGCCCGGTATTGTTATCAATGGAAAACAGATCTAAAAGAAAATCAAGCATTAAATATTCAGGGATAGTACTTTTTATTATTTTAGAATAACCAGACTTGACTTTTACCATGTTAAGAATAGACTAAAAAACTCTGCACACCCTTCCTTCCCCGGAAACAGCGTTGTTACAGTTGTTATTACCCAAAGAGTATCCAGAGTCTTGTCAATATTCATGATTTTACAAAAATTCTCAACTCTATTCCTTGAGCCAGAGGATTATTCGTGCCGTCTGCTACACTATTCATTAATGCAGATATAATAAATGTGATTTTGTACCTTGATGATTAAGTATGGCGTACTTGACTGTACCATTAAGACCGTAGTCAGCATCATTCGCTGTAACCTTAACCACATTACTACCAACAGGTAAGTCTTCGTTCACACTGACGTTGTAGGACGAAGGCTCAAAGTGGGGTGAGTTATCGTTTACGTCTCCAACGCTTATATTGATCTATATCGAAAAATGAGGAATAACTTAATACTAACTATTGGTGCAATTCCAAATTCAAAATTGATTTGTGACCAGTCAAAAGCTAAAAAATCCAGAAACAGGACATCATAGCAGCAAAAGACATACTAAAATTAATATTGGGGGGGGGATAATTAATATTGGGGGGGGGGTATTTGAATAAATAATTACAGATCAGCAAGTGTTACAAACTTAAAAAAAATAATAATGAAAATAACAAAAAGCCTTAAACCGTACACTCCCTTCTTTTTGCAAATTTCAAAACATTGCTGCTTGAAAATTTTTCACCCAAATATGYTCAAAMCTKAAAAGAACACTAATTGTAGTATTTTCTTAAATGTGGTAGGGTTCCGTTTTTGCTAAGCGGACTATTTTCATACTCTTTTTTTTTCAATCCCTTTTTGAAAAGGAGAAAGTCAAATTGAAAAGYGTAAGATATTCATTAAACCAATGACTCAAGCCACAATCATTGGCCCTTGTAGGATGCCCTCTAAACCAAATTAAGAAAACTAAAAATATAGGCTATTTAYGGCAAATGTCCATCACTCACCGTAGCCAATCCTACAACTGTGGTATTTTTTGTTAGCTTGACTACGATCGAGTAGTTTGGAATAGTTTCTCGGTCCAGCGCCACCGAACTAACTTTCAGTTCTGTTGCAACAAGTACAAAATGATTTCCAGTGTTACCAGATTGAATGGAGAATGAGGCTCCTGACACATTAAAGCTGGCTTCGATAGTCTGATAAAGAAATATTACAAAAATAATCAACTACTCCAACTAGAGTGAAGTTATCTTAAAACCCGCAAAACAAAACTTGACTATTAAAAGGTGATAGCCAAATGACCTTTTCTCAAGATGTTGGTTGTGCAGAACCAGAATGAGGCTTYGGCACAATGGATGAAGAAAATTGCTGAGAAAGCAAAAAATCAAGGGGAAAAGTAAAGTTGTRTTCAACTTTGTCATGCCTATTCAGGTGTTATCGTCGAGGGAGTCAAGAAAACTTTTCATAAAATGCAAAAAGATACATCGCTATAAAAACTGTGGATGCAGTGCCTAAATAGCATTCGACAGAAATAGACTCAATCTGAAAACATATGAGTTTGTAGTAAACACTTTGCAGGTAAAATATGATTATCAAAGCGTAACGTTTCTACATCAATTGTGAAAACGAGAAATGTTGTGAACCAATCAAATCCTCGCTTTGGTTCTGCAGAACCACCATCTTGGTAAACGTCCATAGACAAAAAAGAAAACAATGCAATTASAGCGTACTAAGGTGTATTAGGGTAATATCTATTTCATGGGTTTTTAAAATGACTTCGCTCTGCTTTAGTTTATCAACAAACTAATTCTAATGTTAACGTGAAAACCAAATATAACAACCACATTTTGCAAATAGCTTTTTTCATTCGGACAATCGTTTCTGGTTGGCAAATAAATAAGAGAGGATTACGTCATACAGCGTGCTGCTATTTGCCATAACGTCATAGCCGCAATGTTGGATAAAAATATCATTTAAACTCATAACTTTTTCTTGTCTATCTATACAACATGGCGGCGACAACTATGTTCTTTACATTTCTCATTGGACACTTGATCATTTCTCAGACTCTTACAACGAACGTATACAAGCTTTAGATTAAGTCCCATTTTTATACTGAATTCTTTGCAACGTATACTTCAGAATGCGCTAGGGCATCTAATGAATTAGATTTTTATCACATACCGATAAGTCCATTGCAACCACGTTCTGCTGCYCCTCCGAAACACTTGCATCAAATTTTAGATTTCGAACAGCAACAACAGTGATAGTAACGAATGTAATAACTGCTCCATGCTTCTTGGACTTCGCCTGGTAATGAAATACAACAAATATGACATTTTCACGATAATATATGAGAATACAAATAATTAAATGCCCACTTCCGTTTGTAAGGGCAGCACTGAAGRAATTCCTTTACGGCTCCCTGCGAAATCTTGAACACAACCGTGCCTTGAAATTGTAGCTATTCCAGGGAGGAAAAGCCGAAATGGACCCGAAAAGACCTAAGTTGAGAACGGAAGGAACTCARATATGGTGTCTCGAAGTATGTGATTAATTGTCTGTAGTTGTGAAAGGAGGTTTCTATTATTGCACGTTCAACGATCGTCTCGCTTCCATAGAGACGCTTACCTTTCAAGATGGCGCAAAGAACCGTAAAGGAGACTATTGTCTCGCGCGACTTCTTGACACTAATGAAATAGGAATCATGCCGAGTGATTGATCCGAGAACAAAATGCAAGTCACATCTTAGCTAGGTTAGAAGTTTCACTTTCATTTTCATTGAGTTACCGTGACGACAAGTGTTTGACTTCCAAGTTGAAGTTGTCCATTGACTGATATCTGTCCTGTGCTGCTATCAATTTTATATAGGTTGCCTTTGTTGGAATCTGCCAATCAAAAAAATTAGGGTTGAATTTATATGCACCTTATTGCAAAATAGCATGAGGAGGAAACAAAGAGAATTAACTTTTGGTTCGAACTTTTCCAATAAAMTTCATAATTTGAGACGACGAAGTAGAGCTTGTTTGAATCTAAGTATTCTAGCACCTCACAATGAAACAAAACTGAGTATTTTCACATTCTATTATCTTTCAAAGTTTAAAAGTGTTGATTAATGTTCAGTATTTGACAAATCACATGATGGATTCATTACAAAAGCAAAGTAAGAAAAAGCATTTTTTTTCACCTGGAAAAATCCCGTATTCAGCCTTTTCACCGAGTTTGTCTAAGTCATAAGCATCCACCTGTACAATTGGTGTACCCTGTATGGAGAAAAAATAACAGAGTGTTTTAATTTCCACTTTTTTACTTCTTTTAACAATGAATTAATGAGCAACATTCTGGGCCTCCTGAAGAATTGCCTGCGCATAGGCATATCWYTGCTGCGACCAGGCAATACTTACAATGGCTGAGCCTTTAATCACTTCGCCTTTATAAGACCTCTTCGTAAAGTTCAGTCCTAAATCATCAGCATTGAGAACATTAATCGTTAGTGTTCCAGTAGTCTGCGGTTTCGGTGGCTGTGTGTTCTACAAAAAACATGACGATTAAGAACGTTATTGAATAATTTCTTAAACCAGCACGAGATTCGTCCTGATCTATTACGACTTTAACGTGGATTGTCTTTAAAAAGAAACTTGCTATTATGAAGGCTTTAGCAAAWTGTTTTTTAACAGAATGTTGGAGTCGAGAAGTTTCTTTGCAGTTAAGCTAGAAATATTACAGAATTCCATTTGGAATGGTTTGTCCAGACCAGAATGAACAAATGTTTATAAACAGAGTTTTACATTATTTTMAAAGTAGACAGAAAATATTAAAGGTTATTGTAAATATGAGAAATTCTAACAATATATGGAACGTTTTGACTCGTCGTGGAGACGACGTGTTTCTTTCCATTATTCTAGAACAGTTTGCATTCTTAGACTGCAAACGATGATAAAATAAAATATCATGCACTTCACCGAAAAATAGCYTCGATAAATAGCGAAATATAGTGTAGATAAACGAGTTTCATCAGCCAAAGAAGGCCACAAAAAGCAAAAATACATATTAATACATAGCAATTTGAGCCTTTATGAGTATGACGACTTCCGAACGAAATCCCGTGTTTAGTCATACATGTATTAGAACATTAAGCTGTACAGCGATTGGCCATAAACCACCCCTCCCCCTGCTTCTATATTAAATATATCAACTAAATGAAATATCAGCTTCAGCACTTACTTTAGCTGTTATGTTCAGTACATATTGTCTTTTGCCATTGTCGTAATCTAATGACTTGTTGAGGTAAACTTCGCTATTCACCATACGGAATACACGATCCTGCAATATTGAATGTACAGTCAGTTGAAGAAATTCAGGAGCCGTTCTTTCACAAGTGGATACCTTTATCCATCCATTCCTACAAGCGGCCCCTGTCCCCTAACTTATGGAAATATATAATAGGGGAAATTATACTCAAAACACTAATTTTGCACGAAACGGCTAAAACAGCCATACTGGATGGYAAAAGTTTATAAACAAACTCATAAATAAAAGGTCAGATTGCGATCTTGTAGTTCCCCTGCCCATTGTGATCGAAAACCAGATAATGGTGRTCATAAACCATTGTTTTATCTACCTCGTTTCCACCATGTATGAAAATCTCAGTTTGTTGGTTTATCTGGTCGTCCTTATCTTCATACAAAACAGTGTAAAGCTCAGTGTCTACGGCCGTAATCTGAAAGTTACAGGGAAAATGTTTTAGCATTCATTTGCATAATACATTTAGTATTTCAAAACATAATGATACTCTTCGTAACATTCAGTTTTATATGATAAAGGTTATTTTCGTCTAAATCTTGTTCCTGTCCTGTTAAACGTTTTTATGTTACAGCTTAAAACTCAACGCACGCTTTGATTGGTTCTTTCCATAAACAATCCGTTGTGTATTTCGCCAGTAAGTCATGTTTCTGATCTGGTGTGAATATAATTTACATAGGACATAGGTAATAGAGTAAACGAAGTTTTTCTTCTCTTAAGCAATTTTTTCTATATATTTATTTTTTTTATTTTTTTATTTTTATTTATTTTTTATTTTTAAAATCTATAATCAAAAGGATCAAAATAATTGTGTCTAATTAAACAGAATTAGATCTTTACTTCAATTCTGTGTAAAAAAACAGCAATTGCGTTCAATTTTCTAATAATGGCTACTCATAATCCACTGWTCTTTTMTCGTGTTCTCCCGTCTCGCTCCGCTCGGTCCGTACGGCATGACCTAGGGSCAAACATTTTCCCGCACAACCCTCCCATATGTCAATAACGGACAGACGGACAAATAGACTTACCTCTGTGATGTTTATTGTTTTAGGTATGTTGGTCATTATTGGTGGTTTATTATTGACGTCGATAAATTGCAGGATTACTCTCAACTGGCCCTATAATTGATATACAATGACATTAATACTGAATACCCAGAGTACCTTTAATTTTGCTCTTGGATTTGAGGTTCTCTTCGCTAAACAATCCTTTGATATGGTAATGTATTCTCTCACCTTTTCGCTAGCAGTGTTAATAGCATATACTTGAAAGTTTTTTATTGATAACATCGCCTGAAAATGAGCATAAAATCATGAATGAACTTCTTAGCAGTGRACTATTTTGTGTCAATCTTAGGTAAATAGTGATAGAAAAAGCGAAAAAAGTCCAAGAATTGAGGAACCTCATCTTATTACTACAAGCTGTCTTTTGTTAGCGACCTTTTGTGGACATTTATGAAATATGTGCTTACTCTCCCTCTCCCACACCCCAACCCTCCCCCCTCTATTTTGTCGTCTTSAATCGCCACTTTGGTTTTCTTTAACCGCTATCCGCTGACTTCCTTCGAAGAGATATCACGTTCGTTGGAAATTATACAAATAACCTAATGGCCAATTTGATGTTTAGATTTTGCCGTCAACGTGAATCGAAATCTCTCTGTTACCATTATTTGCTCTTACTCAGCTAATGAAAGATTCAAAGTTTTAATATAGAAAAGTCACATCGTAGTTATATAGAGTTTCAAAGAATAATATATTGTACCTCTCTGTCTATCTTTTTCTTGACTGTGGTGGTTCCATTAGATGCCTCGATTTCAAGCCAGTCTGTGATCGTATTTTCAAGACTGTAAGTGATTGCCTTACCACCAGGATCTGTTGCCTTAAACGTATAGTAAAGGGTACCTACAGGAATTCAATAATAAAAAATTCTAATCAATTCACGAAACGTTAACGTACATTCAATAAGAAGAAATGGATGATATATTATAACATCTAAATCGCATTCTAAGATTTYCCCCGCTATACGGACTGGATACAGCCACCAAGAAACTGACACAATAACTAACACCTATATTGAGTGACGGCAAAAAGAGTTGAGAATGTTTTTTAGAAATCTGAATGTTATCTTAAAAGTCCCTCTTTCAAAACTCAGCTGGATTATGTTGTTTGGGAGCTGTTTTGGGGACGGSAGGAGATGGAGAGCGCGTTTTGCTATTTAGCCGTGAACAGTGCAGTTCATATCTTAAGCTTTTTGTCTCAAGATTGTAGATTTTACACACAATTCCTAACGCGGAAGACTATATATATATAGATGCAAAAACAAAGAAAAATTTACGAAGTCAATTTGGTGAAAAACCAAGGAAAAGACCTCTTACCGGGTGGTGAATCATCCGTGAGTGTTGGATAGTTACTGGGGTTCGTAAAATACGGCGCAGCACCTGGAAAAAAGTAAATTTGCAATTATTCGACCACAGTTATGATCAGTGAACTACATATAAGAAAGGGAAATGTCGGTGAGAGGTAATCGTCCTTGATCAGAGCACAATTCAAGGGCTGAATTGAAAAAGGACGCAGCTCCCGCGCTGAAGTGGTAATGCTATTACAAACACATAGTTAGTGCTGACACATGGACTCTCCCTTTTTGTAGCACAGCAACGGGATGGAAATTATATTTTTTAATTTTTACTGGAGGAGAAAAGGACGAATTAAATTAGGAAAAAACCCTGAAGTAAGGGAGAACGAAGGAAACTGTAGGTAAGAGTTAGTTACCGAGAACGGATTACTTCTGCGGCCCTCGGGCTGTATATAGCGTAATGCCGACGTGCGAGGTAACTAACAAACTTAGTTTTCAATTCACGTCATGGTTTTCGCAAAAACTGAATAGACTTAATGAATGTTTTCTTAGTTGGGTTTCGAACAATAGAATCCTCTTCTCTTGAGACTTTTTCATGGACTGTTGAAATTAGTTTCCTTTAAGAAAACCTGTTCATGCGAAAGCGAGCAATCGAAATTTGAATATTGTTATCAAATATTCTTAGCAGTCATTCTGGAAACGATGTCGAACAGTGACGATTTGTTTATAGCTCAAAATACGTTTGACAT